AAAAAAAGCTGGGGTGTTAACTTTTCAAAAGGTACACTTTTGGACCCAAAGGGTGTATACTGGTTCCTTATAGGCACAAAATCTGACCTTTTGAAAAGGTACCGCCCCAGTGACTTTTTTTTTCTTTCTGAGAGTGCAGTTAGCTAGATAATAGCAAAAGCTATAGACTCAAGAAATGTGTCATTATATGACAGTCAACTAAAAACTAAACGGCTTCGGTTTGCAGAGCATGACCACGCAATTCTAAATGTTTAACAGGCTGATGATTATTAACTACAGATACAGAGAATTCATTCTCACAACTTATTCCTTTGTTTGAATAAATCGCACTGAAGGATGTAAGGGTTTAACAACACATGTGTTTTACTTTAGGAGAGACCAACCATGCATTGGTGTTGTTTAATTTTTTTATATTTAATATCATATTCATTTATAATTATTAGTCATGTATGTAGTTGTCACTTATGGTTTATGGATTTATTGATTATTATTTACATATGTCTTTCTCATTTTTGTCATTTAATCATTTTATTATAATTATTATTATTAATTTGTCATTTTATGCTTTTCTTGCTCTTGCTCTAAAAATCTTGCTATTGTTGTTTAATCTGATGACTGTGTTTTTACGGGGTGTTTGTCTTCATGAGTAGGAGATGAAATAATGTCTCCTTTTCAAGGTTTTTAACACTACGGGATGATGTTGTTTTTGCTTGGGTATAATAGCCCTTGCTGGATTTGTACTGGTCAGATGAAGACAAAGACAAACATGTACTCTGTAACATCTGAGTTAGATGAATCCTGGACTTTAACAAATCTATATGCAAGTTTATTCAATAAACCATCTTTGCTTCTTTTTACCACCACTTCTTCTCCTGCTTCCTGCTCCTGGCTTTCTCAACCTCTCAAGCTGATGGAACACTGGTAATTCAGATGTTAACAGGTTTTACTGGTCTTAGACACTGGGTTCGGCGTCCGGGGTCGAATCTCACACTTCTAATGTAGAGATTCATCCAATCTAGAAACTGTAAACAATGTAATCTTCCAGTTTTTGTCAGTTATAATAATTTGCAACAGTTATTTTAATTATTAGTAAACGTTAGTCACATATAATGAAGTTAATTGATTTTTTTAAATTTAAGACAGCACAAATCATGTTTAAATCAAGAAATAATCTACTTCCATGTTTATGGATGGACAGGGTGGGTATGAGTTGAGAGAGGAATCAAACTTTAAAAAGTATGTGAATCCTATCATACACCGCACAAAGCGAGATGAACAAACTCAGAGTTGCAGAGTAAATTTTGAGTTGACAAAACCCGATAAAGCCAACCTGGTTAAGATCAG